TTTGATGACACATGGCCCCAAAATATTCAAGTAATAAATGCAAAAGAAACAGATGTTAAAGGTTGGTCTCCAAGCATTGTATCCAATGATGCCACGCTTGCCTATGATCTCACCAACATAAAACCACATCCACACCTCAGTGGCCACCAAACCATTCAGCAGAGCTGCCTTAACTGTGAGCTGTTTGAAGCTACCAGTTTGAGCACTATTGACTATTGTTTTTCAACCTCTGAATAGCTGTAGGGATCTCAGCAGGAGTTGGAGGAACCAGCTCAGGCTTGGCATAGTTCCAGAGTGTGACCAATCAAGGCTTCAAGTAAGTCACAGCAGCGTTTACTAGCACCAGGGCCTTCTCTGTGAGGTTGCAGACAAATTGGGCCATAGTTCTAGGATAGAAAGTCTGCAGCCTTGAATAGATTGGATGAGGTGCTTGATATGATTTCAGTCCTCTTAAATTTATTAAGACTTTTTATGGCCTGCTGTAGTCAGTCCTGGACAATGTACACTTGGAAAAAAGTGCATAGTCTTCTGTTTTTATGTGGCATATTCTATAAATATCTATTAAGCCTATCTGGTCTAAGGTGTCATTTAAGGCCTTGTTTTCTTGTTCATTTTCTGTCTGGGTGATCTATGCATTGATGTAATGGGAGTGTGAAGTCCCCTACTATTCTTGTGTAACTCTCAATCTTTCCCTTAAGTCTTAATATTTCTTTATGTATTTAGGAGCACCTATGTTGGGTGTGTAGATGTTTACACGTGTCATATCCCCAAGTTGGATTGATGATTTTATAGTTATGTAGTGACCTTTTTTGTCTCTTGTTCCAGTCTTTATCTGCTGTAAGCATTGCCACCTCAGCTTTCTTTTCATTTCCATTTTCATGAAATGTCTTTCTTCAGTATTTACTTTTAGTCTTTGTGTGTCTTTCCATCTGAGTGAGTCTCTTGGAGACAGAATATGTATGGGTCTTGTTTTTCAATCCATTCAGCCACCCTGTGTCTATAGACTGGAGCATTTAGTCCATTTACAATTAAAGTAATTATTGATAGGTATATAGTTATTTTAATTTTAATTGTTTTCTGTTGTTTTTATAATTCTTCTTTGTTCCTTTCTTTTTCTCTTGCTCTCATGTATATTGATGACTTTCTTTAGCAGTTTGTTTGGGCTCCTTTGTCTTCATTTTTTGTGCTGTCATAGGTTTTTGGTTTGTGGTTACCATGAGATTCATATATAACAAGCTATGTTGATAGCAGTCTAAGTTGGTGGTCGCTTAAGATCAAATGCATTCTAAAAGGACTACATTTTTTACTCCCCATCCCCCAAGGTTTATGCTTTTTGACACAATATTTTCTACCATGTGCTTTGTTTGTATTCTTTAATTTATTATTGTAGTTGCACATGATTTTACTATTTTTGTCTTTTAACATTCATATTAGCTTTATAATTGGTTGACCCACTACTTTTACTAAATGTTTGCTTTTATCAGTGAAATTTTTTTCTTATGTTTTTTTATTTTTAGTTTCAGCCTTTTCTTTTCCACTTAAAGAAGCTCCTTTCACATTTCTTGTATTGCCGGTTGAGTGGTGATGTAGTCTTTTAGTTTTTGCTTGTCTGGAAAGCTATCTGTCCTTCAGTTCTGAAAGACAGCCTTTCTGGATAGGGTGTTCTTGGTTGTCATTTTTTTTGTCATCACTTTGACTATATTATGCTATCCCTTTTGTCCTGCAAAGTTTCTGCTGAAATGATAATCAGTTGATGATCTTATAGGTTTTCCCTGATGTGTAACTAACTGCTTTTCTCTTGCTGCTTTTAATACTCTGGCTTTATCTTTAACTTTTGGCATTTTAATTATAATGTGTCTTGGTGTGGGCCTCTTGGGGTTTACCTTGTTTGGGACTCTCTGTGCGTCCTGGACGTGGACATCTGTTTCCTTCACCAGGTTATAGATGTTTTCCATCATTGTTCCTTCAGATAGGTTTTATGTCCTTTTCTCTCTCTCTTCTCCTGCTGGGACCAATCTGATGCAAATGTTGGTATGCTTGATGTTGTCTCATAGGTTTCTTCAACTATCCATATTTCTTTTTCATTTTTCTTCATCCTGTTCGATTCTGTGATTTCCACTACCTGGTCTTCCAGGTCATTGATCCGGCCTTCTGAATCCTCTAATCTTCTGTTGATTTCCTCTAATGTATTTTTTGTTTGTTTTAGTTATTCTTTCGTTCTTATTAGTATTTTTTATATTTTCTGTCTCTTTGTTAATGTTCTCACTAACTTCGTGTATTCTCCTGAGTTTGTTGAGTATCTTTATAAACAGTGTTTTGAATTCTTTATCTGGAAGATTGTCTCTGTTTCATTTCGTTCTTTTTCTGGGACTTTGTTCTGTTCTTTCATTAGGAACATATTCATATGTCTCCTCATTTTGGCTGTTTCTCTGTGTTTTTATCTATGAATTAGGCGAAATAGTAACTTCTCTCAGTCTTGAATGAGTAGCCTTATGTAGGAGCTTCTGCTTTGTAGACTGAGTGTGCCAGGTGTCTTTGGCAGGCTGGTTGGAGCTGGAGCCGGTGCCAACTCAGGACATTGAGAGTCCTGGGGGCAAGCCACTCTGGGGTCACTTTGGCAATCTTGCTATAGCTGTAGCTGGAATGCACCACGGGAAGTTCCAGGGGCAAGCTGCATCTGGATTGAAGCTGTAGCTGAAATGGGCTCAGGCCAATGGAAGTCCCTGGGGCAAGCTGTGCTGGGATCTGAAACTGTAGCTGGAGCAGGCATGAGCCACAATGTGTCCTGGGGCAGGCCACACCAGAGACTGCCTTGGCAGGTCAGCTGGAAGTTGTAGTTGGAGCAGGCAGTGGGGAGTCCTGGGGGTAAGCTGTGCTGGCCAGGAGCTGTACCTGAAGCCAGCGTGGGTTGCAGGTGGGGCCAGGAGCTACTGTTGGAGTGGGTGCAAGCCATGCAGTGTCCCAGGACAAGCTATGGAGTGGGTGTGGGCCTGGGGCTTGGATCCTGGGGCACACTGGGACAGCCTTGACCAGCTGGCTAGGGCTCCTCTATTGACCTCCTGCCTGTGCAAGAAGGCGGTGGGGGAACACACCAAATGGCTCTCTCCAGCGCCTCCAACCCCAGAGAGAGTTCCTTCATTTCCCCCACCTCATTTGGCACATGCTCTAGAGTTAGTAAATTGATTTCCTTCATGTTTAGTATAGATGCCCTTTAAATCAGTGATTCTTTGCTGTGTCTTATGGCATGTGTCTGTGTGAGGCCTCTCAGTGCTCCCTCCTTACTGCAGGTTGGGTTGTTGGGGGTGGGGTTTCCACAGTACCATGTCCCCCCCTCTCCAACCTGTTTCTGTGTGGTCTCTCTGTAATTTGTTATGCAAAACTGTCCAGTGATACCTCAGTTCTTCTTCAGGAGGAATTGCTCTGTCTGTAGACATAGATTCAATATGTTTGTTGGAGAAAGTGAGTTCAGGGTCTTTGTATGCTACCATTTGGACCCCATCTGATCTTTCTTTGACACTGCTATTGAATGTATCAAAAATAGGGAGAAAAGGAGGAAAAATTAAAACTCTGCTTCAGCCTCACCAAGTATAGCATTATAGAATGATTTCTAGTCATATTCATGATTTTCTCTGAACTTATGTGAGAAACTAAAAAGTTAATGATTGTATTTTAAATTTTATATATTTGTAAAGTTAAAGAATAATGCTGTTTATTCTTCAATTAAACAGGTGTGGCCCTGTGACTTTCATAGGTTAACCTTTACATTCCTTGCTTTTTAGACTGTTTTTGGTTTTGGCTTTGAGTTATATTACATGGTCATCAAGTTTCCTCTTTTTATCAGGGAAAAATAGAGGGTTTTCTGAATCTTAAAAGCCTGTAATTTATCTTGGATGTGAGCTATAAGGCTTATTCTGAATAAATTCCATGTAAAGCTGCAGAAATTGTGTAGAAAGTCTTTATGAATTGGAACTTAGCATGTCACTGACACATTCTGAAGTGTGTTCTGTTGACTTTAGTGATGGATGATTCCATTCTGCCAAGTTCAGCTGGAAGGGGTGGCTTAGAAACCCAAACATCAACTCTGGAATCTAGAAACTTCCTGGAACGTCCATGGTTTTAAATCAGCAGGGTGGATGCAGCTTGCATCTGTGCGAGGGATGGCATTCCACCAGCTTGCTCCATGGAAGTCTCTGGAACAGAACTATAAACACCAGCCCTCTTTGTTGTGTGTTGGTTTTTTAAAGCCCCCAATGGTTTGGGGAGGATAAGGCCTTGCCGTGGGACTTCCCAGTCCAAGTTTTAGGGACCTGGCTGAAAACCCTGGATATTTGATAGTCTGGCTTATTTCTATGGTGTATTAGCACCCTATAAAAGTTACATGTCATTTATTTCAAGTTTAGAACCCTCTCAAACTTCAGGGGCAAACCAAACTTGAACCTTTTGTGGCTGGAATTCTGTTTACCTTTGGCCAAACCTTGCTTCCTGAATGTGAGGCTGGGAGGTGAAAGGGAGCTCCTGAGGCCCATTGGACATCAAATCACTTTTGCCCAACAAGGCTTTGATAGGCTAAAACACGAATAAATCTGAGACACGTAAATTAACTTCCTGTCAGAAGACTCTGGGGCCTACACACAAAAGTATATGTGCCAGGCAAAATGCATTTTGACCATTGCCTTCCACCAACTGTGAGACAGTATCTTAGATTTTTGCCAAACCCAGGTTGAAATTGGGTCAAGTCACTCACCCTCCGCTTCTAATAAATATATTAAATAGTTTAAAGGTTATTGGACAATCCAATTGTATAAGGATCTTGGAGAAATTTGGACTTTTCTTGTATGTGAAACATTTATTTTTTAACCAAGGACAAAGAAAGACTGGACTCTTACGATCCAGTGCCCCTTCCGAGGATGCCTTTGTGCCTATTATAGAACACAAGCTAGCAAGGGATTCCTTGTGCTTGAATGAAGGAGAAATAACACCCCATTCTCTGTGCCTTTCAGATAGAGGAGCTGATGAATGCCCTGGAGAAGACCAGACAGGAACTGGACACCACCAAGGCACGCCTCGCTTCCACACAGCAGTCGCTGGCTGAAAAGGAAGCACACTTGGCCAACCTCCGAATAGAAAGGAGGAAACAGCTAGAGGAGATCCTGGAGATGAAGTGAGTACCCAGTTTTGCTTTCCTAATCTCTCTTTTCTAATCTCTCTTTAGGGATGGGGAAGGGAATGCTAGGAAGACGAAGCAAGAGCTTGGAGAAAGAATAATTTAGCTAACACTTGACTAGTCATTACCGGAAGTACGCTGCTGCTGCTTCCTTTTTTTTTTTTTTTTTAATTATTCCTTCCATGTTTGAATTTACACATTTTTCACATCTTTTATTCAAAAAAATATCGAGCATTAAATTTTGTGTGTCTGTGTTTTGTGGGTGGTGCTAGGATTTGTAGATCTGACACAAAGGTCTGAGCGGGCCGAGAGAGAGGCCTTGTTAAGCACAATGGTAATTTGAGCACTGCTCCGAGTTAAGTGGAAACTTTTCTGAGGAGGTATTTCCTAATTGTGACTATAACTTTGCTAATTATATTCTTTTCACTTGTGTACAATGCCTTGCTTGTGTTGGCTTTCATAGAGTCTCAAGGTTGGCACCTCTTTGTTTAGAAAGCAGGACTCTGATTTGCTGGGCTGATAAAAACAGGTTTAGAAATTCGCTCATGCCCTCTACCTCCTTCCTGGGGAAGGGTAGGTAAGGGGGGAGACTGGAACCAATCACTTTTCTTTGATTTAATCAATAAAGTGTGGCTACATGCTGGGCATTGGTCATTCCTGTGGGCCTATGACACACCATCTCCACTTAGGTCTTATTTTGTTCTCACAATGAAATAATATCATTATGGAAGAACATAGCAAAGAAAATTACTCAAAGATATTAGAAATAATCAATTGCTATAAATCGGTTTCTAAAGAAGCAGACAAGAAGCAGCATCTCTCTATATAAGCTTTAAAATGAAATAATCACTAAGATATAATGTAAATCCAACTTCCTTCCACAACAAGGGGAAGTGTACATAATTACAGCATCTTAAGCCTGTAACATAGACTTTGAAATTGGTGGCTAGGTATGGAAGAATGACCTTATCCTGACCCCGCAAGTCTTACACATGGTTAACATTAAACCCGGAGAGCTTAGATCATGGAAAATATGGAATGAAATATTTTGAAAGATTTAATAATGAGGACAAAACTTTTATTCCTTGTCAACTACCTCAGTTTCTCTAAGACCAAAGAATAAGTAGTTATTTTTTCATATAAACTCGTATAAACTCACATTTTTCCTAATAAAAGATGATATAATAAAAACAGATATTATTGTCCTCAGTTTAGAGGTGAGGGAACTGGAACTCAGAGAGATTTCAAGTGATTTGCTTACTGCCATCTGGCTAGGATTAAAACCCAAACCTTCTGCCTCGAGCTTCCTTTGTACTACCTCATTTTCTCATGGAGCTTAAGTGAACTTCACCAAGCCCGGGACTTTGGTTGTTTGTGTCAGTGCAGTAATCATACTGCCTAGAACATCGCCTGGCATATGGTAGGGGCTCAATAGTTATTTGTTGGATGAGTGCAGAGGTTGAATGTGGAGTTTGGATTTTATGAAACTGAGAAGCAAAGTATTTCAAGCATCTGCGTCATTATCACTTTGGTCAATAATTTATTAACGATACTGGTCCATTGATTTCATCAGCCTTTATTCTTTTCCATTCACTTCTGCCTCCTGTGTGTTGTTATGTGTCAAGTTCAGCCCAGTGTCTCTCATTTCTTTCCAGCTGTTTCCAAGGTAACGCTTTATCTCCTACAGTGATTTATTATGCCATTTTAAGGAAACCTTCATTCCTTCCTGTTTCTAAAAAGAGCATATTCTTTCAACGTTTTGAGAGAACAAGTAATGGTGAAGCATGCTGGTTTGAGAGTCACCAGGCCCGGTCTGCAATCCTGTTGCTTCGACGTGGTGGCTGGGTGACTTGAGGGAAATGACCTTACCATCGCTGACCCTCCAGTTTCCTCCTATAACGACTTTCCTGGGGGTGGTTCTGAGGAAAGGCACTCAGAGGAGGGCTTGGCACAGGGAAAATGATATATGTGTGTAAATGGTGCTATCAGCCAATGCAAATATGTCATTTGTTTAGTATACTTTGTGAAGAATATCATTTATCTAAAATTTGGATTTATTTTTCTAAAACATATAAACCTTTTCCGTGTATATGTTTTCCCACTTAATTTCATGATTTCAGATAGCACCTAACTAAGACCTCTTTTGGTGAATTGCCACATTATTGCTGAAGTGCTTAATCTGCTACCCCTGCAAAATAAATACAAAATTCCTCTGTTAATTCCTTTGGTAAAAGTAACAGTGCCCCGCTTCATTAAGCTCAATATGGACCCCATTCACTATTTAACTGGCCCAAAAGCCCCACTTATGGGCTCCTTCCCAGGACTATGGGGACACAGAGACAGGGTAATTATCTTGCCTGAGAACCCCAACTAGATTCAGCAGACTGTTGGGCTGTTCAGGTCCACCAACTGGTTTGATTTATCTTGATTTTTAAGCTAAGTTGACATGTTGGTTACTTGACATTAACCTAGTCAAACGTAAGTGTGTAGAAACAGTCCGATGGGTATATCATTGTCGATACTTACTAGCACTCAGTGCCAAGCATTGTTGGTTTTCTTTCAACTGGCAAGCATCATGCAAGCAACGTTAGGCCAAGTCTACCCGGTTTCCAATCCCCGGCGGGAAGGGAGAGGCCGTGTGGTGTTAGAGGAAAGAGGGATGGGGCCATGAGTCAAGAGTTAGGAGATGTGATCTCTCTAAGTCACCCATAACAGGATAACGGGAGATCACTCTCAGTTGCCTCGGTTTTATCTTCAGTAACATGGAGGTGATAATACAGGCCCTGCCTACTCTGTAGAATTGTTGTCGGGAATTTAAAAAAAAAAAGTACTGAACTGAAATTAATATAAAACAGCATATGTGAAAGCGCTTTGAAACATAAAAGGGGCTTTTGAAATGAGAGGTGGTGTCTGTTAAATGCATTGCAAAATCAAATGGCACAGAGTTTTGGAACTGGAAAGCAGCTGGGTCCCACCTCCCAGCCTGCATGAGCCAGATTCCCATCCACATAATTACTCATAAGGAATTCACCAGGCCCTGGTGAACACCATTCACACTGGAAGTCATGGGTTCACAGGTAGTGGTTCATGTTCCACGACTCTTACAGGTAGCTCACTCGTCCTTATATGGAACTGAAATGGCTTTCCATGTACTCTTCCCACTCGTCTTGGTTTTGTTCCAGAGCTACACAGAATTTACCTGAATCCCATCCAGAGGCCAGAAAGCCTTCTATATATTTGTTTGGGTAATGGTGTTTAATTTAGAAAAAAATAAGAAATATGAAGAAGCAAAATTAAAAAACAGAATCACCCATGATACTACCATGCAGAGATAGACACCGATGGCATATTGGTGTATATCTTTACAAATACTCGTTATTTTTGTATTTTTAATTTTTTTAAAATAATTTTATTGGGAAATTGGGGAGGAGAACAGTGTTGGGGAATTGGGGAAGGGGAACATTGTGTTTTTCCAGGACCCATCAGCTCCAAGTCAAGTTGTTGTCCTTCAATCTTAGTTGTGGAAGGTGCAAGCTCAGCTCTAAGTCCAGTAGACACTTTCAATCTGGTTTCAGGGAGGGGCGTCCACCATCCCATGTGGGAGTCGAACCGGTAACCTTGTGGCACACTGAGCCATCCGGCTACCCATCGGCAGCTTGCAGCTGCTCAGCTCAAGGTGCCGTGTTCAATCTTAGTTGGGGGGTGGGGGGTGGGGGCGCAGCCCACCATCCCATGTGGGTGTCAAACCGCAACCTTGCTGCTAAGAGCACATGCCCTCACCAGCTCAGTGGCAGCTCAGCTCGGGCGCAGCTCACTGGCCCATGTGGGAATCGAACTGGCAACCCTGTTCCTCAGAGCTCGCGCTCTTAACCAACTGAGCCACTCTGCTGGCCCTACTCTTTGTTTTTTAACTAAATTAGATCATATTTTTGTGTTTTGTAAATCCTGCTTCTTTTGTTTACTGACTATTGAATGCCCTCCATGTCACAAACCTAGAATTGTATTATTTTTAATTACTCAATATATTGTCATATAGGTTCATTCCTTTCTTAGACACGTATCTCACTGCCAATGTTTTGCTAATATAATGTTTTGATAAACATCCTGCTGTTTTATTATGTAAACTTTTTTTTTTTTTTAAGCTGAGCCATCCTCCCACCTGTTGGCAGCTCAGTGGCTGCTCAGCTCAGGCCGGGACTCGAACTGCTGTTGTTCAGAGCTCAAACTCTTGAGTGAGCTCTTAACCAATTGAGCCACTCGGCCGGCCCTTGTAAACTATTTTTAAATAATTATAGATTGATGTGCGGTTACAAGTAACAGTAGAGAGAATTCTCCTGCATAGTCACGCATTTCCCTCAATGGTAACATCTGCATAGCTCTGGCACAATATTACACTGGGAAGTTGATATTGGTACAATTCATTATCTTTATTGAGATTTTCTGGTTTTATATGTACTCATTTGTGCATGTGTGTGTACACTTAGTTCTTAATATAGGTAACTTTAGCACATGTATAGGTTTGTGTAACTACCATCAAAGTCAAGGTACAACACTGCTCCATCATTACAAAGATCGTGCTACCTTTTGATTGCTGCACCCACAACCTAGCTGTTTCATTTTTCACCAGAGTTTACTTCTGTGTTATATCATTTAGGGACATGTGCCATGCCAGTCCACCTTTGCCCTGCCATTCTTCTTGGGCAGGGTAGGGAATTCCCCTCTCAGTTCAAATTTAGACTGAACTTAGAGAGTGAGAAAATATGGCTTCATTCCTCTAATTTAAATATTTCTCGTGGGTTGGTTACATTTTATTTACAGTGGAATCTTCTTAATATTGGATATCTACAGCCTGTCATGTGGTAGACATGGAATAAGTGTTTGAGGAATAAAGGGATGAATGAGTTCAAAAACTCATAAATATTCATTGAGCGCCTACCTTGTGGCAGATACTGTTTTACATGAATAAACAGAAAAATCCTTCACCTTATCAAGCTTGC